CGGTTCAGAGCTGGAAATCTCACACCATGGTTCGGGGTACCAAACTCAAGAAAAAAGTGAGACAGGACTGTCATTGTTTTGGGTGAGGGATGCTAGGACTAGTCTTCATTGTCACTGCTTTGGCTGAAAGTGAGTCAATTGATTTCTTCTTGGTTTTCCGTTTTAGCAAAAATAATAATTTCAGTTAGAAAATAACTGGTTTTAATGCTTTGATTCAAAAAGAGAGTTATTTGTTCCTCCCTTCCTGCCTAGTTATTCCTTCTGTCTTTTGACATTTAAGTAAGTCTTTGAACCTTATTCCACTTCATTATTGTGAGCTGTGTCCTTCCTTTGTTTACTTCTTGACTTTGTTTCTCTTCCCTCTCAAGTAACAAGTAATTTGTCTTACTATGTTTAAAAAAAAAAAAAATTCCTCCTCTGTGTTTCCCAGTAGATTTTGTATTTGTATGTCTGCTAGCTGCAGCCTCATTGGGATTTTTTTTTTTTTCTTTAAAACATGTAAAACTACTCAGGAGTTTAAAAAAAATAGTATCGTAATATTTCTAATGTGGCAATATTCCAATGTTTCCAATTATTTGAAGAATAGCGATGATCATCAAAAGTCACCAAATAGAGGAGTATTAAGCCTGTGCTGCGATCACAACCCATTTTTCATAAAGCAAGTTCTCCGTCAGAAGCATGACACATTAATCCAAGCTAAGCAGATAAATACAAGTTTAAGAGAACAACCAGCCACTAGGTTAAGTTTTTCATTTCCCACCACTGAACAGTGCTAAAAACAGTGTTGCTTTCACTGGGTCACCAACGTAGCATTTAAACCAAGGTAAAACCTTGAAGCTGTCAGGGTTGTAATTAGACCTTTTTGCCATCTTAGAAAGTTTTTCCTTCAGACAAAATGGATTCCAGAGCAAAGACCCCATGCAAGTCTTTGGCATACATAATCTTTCTGGCAAATCCATACTTAAAGCTGGATAGTGTATTCTTCATCTCCACTGAGATAAGTCACACCCTTTCTTGATTATACCACTTAAAGACATGAAATATGAAGAATGAAAAAACATATCTGAGATATTAATTGGGATGACTTCCATTAGAATCAAACATTAACACATCAAAATCAGTATCCAGTTTTACAATACCACATTCAGGAACACAGATAAATCTTATCCTCTAACTTTAGGTTTGCTATTCACAAGACCCTAGCTTTCAGGTGAAACTACAGCATCCATGTGGTCCAGTGCAGCTGCCATTGTATAGTGGAAATTGTTGGCATAATGGGTAGAAATGTATATACACTCATGGTCTGTCATCTCTTCTTGATCAGCTTTTTGCCATAAAATTCAGTCTTACTAGAATTATGTTCTTAATTTTCCTCCACAACCTCTGTTCTCTCTTCTTTCTGTACGATAAATAATGATTTCATGCTCTCCCACTCCCACCATAAAGGTTCACAATGTTAGCAGCCATTTTTCATTTTGCTTCTCCTTTTCCTTACAGCGGATAGCAATGATATTACCCAGGATCATTACATCTTTTTCCTGTTCCCTTCTAAAAATCTTCATCCTGGCTTTTCATTCCAGAACAGGGCCCACTGTAGGAGGTACCATACCATGAAATCCTTTTCAGCCAATCTAATTCAATCTAGAAAATGCTTCAAAAAGCTTTCCTATCCACATCTCTGCTTTCATTTCTTTCTGCTCACTATCTAAGGTCTTCATCTTGTCATTCCATTCACAGTGTTTACTCACTTATCTCTATACTCTCTCCGCACTAAGGTCTTGCATTCACTTCTTCATGCTTTTTTCATTTGCTTATTGCAAAATGGCTTCCCTATTTCATTTAAGTCTCTTTTAAAAAAACTATCACCTATGAAATATCACCAGAATAGTATTGTAAGTAAAATAAATTTTACAATGCCTCAGATGGTGCATCAAGTCTGAATTATTTTGTTTGTAGTTGCTCCTTTGAGCGAAAACTATGCAAAAGAGTATGTATTTGCTATAGTACTAACCACATTGTCAAATAAATAAGCGGTCACAATATTGCACAGGCAGATGTATTGGCTGACTGTGCTTCAGTCAGCTGTGCAGCACACTCATTCTTATCTCTCGGATTAGGGCTAGGGGAAAAGTTTTATCTGAGGCTGAGTTTTGTTACTATTCCACAGAAGCAACTTAAGCAAGGGATTTAAGACAGACATTATACTTATGTTTTGATATATTACAAAGATAATATTAAATCAGTTACAGTAGTCAGAATGGGTTTTGCTATTTCCCCTACTTTTCCCACACTTACTCCCTGAAATCACTGTAAATGATTGCAAGTGTCCAGTTTACATATCAGCAGCTAGGGTGTCAGCAATCAAAGCTTATCTAAAATACTTTACATACTTTAAATACTTTACAGATTCATAGAAGGCAGCTCAAAAATCTCATCCTTGAGTGTTTTCTTCCAGATCCTGTCCTCCATTTTAAGTCATACATCATAGATACAACTTTTCCTCTCAAAAGTTATACTTTTTTATTACTCTTCTTTCGCCTCCTTATTTTTTTTACCCATCTCATATCTTTTCCCAGCCTACCTCAGATTATAAAATACAATTTGCAAATTTTTACTAATCTATTTTGTTGCATCTCTACAAATCCATCACTTATTCTTTACATTATAGATCTATATGTGTGTTTAAGGTAATCGTAAATAGGAGTACCCAACATCTTTATTCAGCTGCCTTTTTATTTTAAAGGACTCATGCCTGCTGCATTCCAACCTGTGTACTGTGCTACAAAGCATGGTGTAATTGGATTCACACGGTCAATAGCAGTAAGTATGTGTTTTTGAAAACAGTATCAGCAGCTCCTTGGGAACATGCTAAGTTTCTCATGTTCCCTCTCTATTGTCACACAACTGGAACTAATTTTCTTAAAGAAAACGAAGTGTCTGTGAAGCAGTGGAGGTTCCCTCCTTTCACAAAGGGAATCCAAAGATGGAATAAGTAAGGCAAGTGTGTGTTTATGACCAATTTGAGGTTTTGGGAGCATGGAAGAAAGATGTTGCAAAGTGATTTAATGACAGTGGGAGGAGCCCCAAAGTCAAATTCTTATCCAAGCTTTAAAAATATTTTTCATAACTCCATCCCAGTCATTTAACATTTTGGGTTCCTTATTTGTAAGTCAGGCTGATGTCTTTTTTATGATAAATAGGCACTAAAGTGTACAAAAAGTGACTTGAACACAAAAATGTTTACCATTATTTATTCTTACCAACTCTTAATACGCTGAAAATGCAAAATGACACATTCATGATGGGACATGTTAGATGTTATATGACCACATAGTAAGTCTTAGCCTCTGACTCCGAAACTTTCTAGTTAAACTGAACAAGCAGTAAGATAAAACAACTTGGAGGGAGCAAATATGATTACACTTTCATAGGTTAAGCTTAAAGATAGCCTACTCATATAAGATCTCCAATCTAATTTGGAATGATAATTTGGATAGTTCATCCATATTTTATGCCCCCACTCCCCACCCAAATAACTTCTTTTTTAGATTAACCTAAGCAGATTAGTATGGATAAGTGTTGCATATAACATATTAGCCACAGCATGAATCTGACACATGGTTTTCCATTTTTGTTTTCTCATGATAATATAAACATCACTATCTAAGTTCAAAAATAAAGGGTCTGCTAGAAAATTAGAGGAAATGCTGTCTCTATGGAACATGAGAATGCCGAAGAGAAAAAGAATAATAAACATAGCAAATCACTGTATTTAACAGGAAAGGCAGTACAGCCTAGCGTTAGGCAGGTATGATACAAAACATCTAAGACTTCAGTTTCTTTTCTTCTCCAGACCAAAAGGGCAGGCTACCATATCATGAAAATGACATACGATTTTCATAATACCTGAAAGGATTCCTGTTAAATAAATAGAACTCAGTGTTGAACAATTATGGTTATCCTTGGATATATCATGTATAGTTCGTAAGTTCTGTGTTATCACAAAGAAAGTTCATCTAGCATTCAACATATGCCTGGATGCTGATCAGACTTCTTTGCTACACACATGCATCGGTAGCACCACAAATGAAGGGTCCTACCATTCCCAGAACAATTTGTGCTGCTTGCTTTCCTCATGTTCTTGAACTGCTTCCTGAAAAAAACTCCTGCCTCTTTCCTGGAGTTCACAGGGACTTTCCTGTGGAGACGCTCAGTGATAGATTCATCCCTTGGCAGGGACAATAGAGCAGCTGGAAAGGTTTGGCATTACACTTCTAGGGGTAGAGACCAAACCCTACTTCTGTTGGCGTGAGGGAGGTAAAGACAATCTTAGGGTTAAATCTAGATTAGATTTCAGATGGTTTTCTTTTAATAAGCAAGTTCTTATAAGATTGGAAGCATACATTTGGGAGACGTTTTTTACTTGGTTTTGCTTATGAGAGTTATATCATCACCCTAGAATACTGTTAATGACATGACAATAGCACTAACAACAAAAATATTAGAAAAAAACAGCTGCATGGAAAGAAGAGTGTTGATTTCTTGTAGAATTGTTCTCCCAGTAAAACAAATGTTTTTTTCCTAGTAATCTAGTATGATTACTAGAGAAAATGTACTTCAAAGTTAGTTCTTGAAACAAAACAATCAGTAGTAACAAAATTTGCTTACTAGGCAAGGCTGAAAAGTACTTAGTGGTAAATCTCATTCTTCGAAAAATTACTTACATAATACTGCTTTAAAATGTTGATGACGAATGCCTAACTTTTTCTCTTTTCTAGTTAGCTGCTAATATGGAAAACTACGGTGTGAGACTCAACACAATTTGTCCAGGATTTGTCAACACACCAATTCTTCAGTCAATAGATAAAGAAGAGAATATGGGACAATATTATTCATATAAGGATGAAATAAAAAATATGATGCAGTTCTATGGCGTGATGGAGTAAGTCAAGTCAGATACAGTGGTTTTTTGCCCTTTGTTAATGAAGAACAAGCACACACAATAGCACTTTCAGCAAAATTAAAATAAAAGGGAAATGCTGCCTCAGATAAAAGCCTATCAAATGTGTTATCCTATATACAAGGAACAAATTTTAAGAGTATCACCTACATAGTGATATTTCCCTCTATACATTCCCATTTCCCAGCAAAGTGCAAATCAAATTCCCAAGTTAAAGATGGTGTATTAGTTTTTAATAGCCCTTGATGTTCTTCCATAAATTTGTCTAATCAAACTTGTTGTGAGATACAGGGTATATCATTTATATTGAATTTTCACAAAATTTGCAAGTGAACCAAGATAGAAATCAGACCAAGAACTGACAAAACTGGACTAAGTTCATAAGAGCACAGTAGCAACGATGGTGGATCAGATCAAGAGTTACCTAGCCCATTACAGTATTGCCAACAAAGGCCAAAAGCAGACAGCTAGGAAGGAGTGTGAGAACAAGACAAGCATAAAGTGATATTTTTTTAACACTTTCTCTAACAGTTAGCTGCTCAGATACTTCTGCACAAAGGAAATTGTATGACTGTGCTGTTTCGCCCTCACTTTTTGATATGTAAAATATATTGCACCTATTGACCGCGTTCTCCCTACACTAATTTGTATGTCAGTCCTGCTACAAAAATAGAATAAATCAACAGCAAAGAGCTGCAGAGGATTGTGTAAGGATTACTTCTGTCCGTTGCCCTGACAGAGAAAACTTTGATAGGAAGCCCAGTGGCAGCTGGATGTCCACAGGGATTTAGTAGTAACTGGAGCAAGCAAATGACGATTTGTAAAGTTGACACTTATACGTTGTATCTCCTGACTGAGGAGACTGAATTTCTCTCCTGAAAGACTCATACCACCTCTACTTTTCTTGAAAATAAATTTGTTCAAATACCAGATTGTTTAATTTTCAGGGTATATAGGTTCACATTGAGTTTCTTTACTTGTCCTTTTCACATGTTCTATTATATCATGATTCTGAAGTAACAAATTCTTTTTTTTCAGCCCATCAATAATTGCTGAGGGACTGATAACAATAATTGAAGATGATACTCTAAATGGAGAAGTTATGAAGATTACAGCATCCCAAGGGATTCATTTTCAACAATACAGCCAAACACCTTTTACATCATCAAAGAGATAAATAATTGTTTTATGCTAATTATTTTTTGCTTTTCTTAAATATAAAAAATTTTGAAAACAGTAATTTTGGGGAAAAAAGGTTAGTGTTGTATCTAGAGCAGTGACAGTATTCAAACATTCGCATCCTAATAACAAAGAGATGGACAAGAAAATCTGGTGTGGGAAGATGTTACCATAGTGTTTTGATTCTATAAGCACTAATAATAGTATTTATTCAGTAGAATAAACACACTGCTCTGAAGATTTTTGATAATGTAGTAATAGGGGCCAGTTTTTTCCTTCTGGTAGTTCTGATCTACATACTCCAAGCGTATTTTGGTGGACCTGACTTACTTCATATAATTCTTTTCACTGTCGTAAGCGTCTACTTATTTACATCTTGAATTCTTCAGACCAGGAATTCAGTTGAAGAATCTAGAACACAAATATACCCATAAGACGTTAGAATTTACTTTTTCTTAGGAAATGTAAAATAGGACAAGAGGCAAAATTCTCTTTCCTCATTTATATATGCAACTGAATATGTTGCATATCACACAAGAAAGTACAGATTTTTATCTTCCTGGATTTTAGCTATTTATAAAATAGTTCAGAAATATTTTTGTGTTCTTTTGTAGATATATATATGAATTTTCTCTCTCTGTATATACAAGGATGAATACATTGGCATTGATTGAAATGTCTACTTACTCATTAAATCTCATTTTCTAAACCTTTAAATCTAATTTCTTGCCTTGATTGATTAAAACCTCAATTAAATCCCAAAGAATCTGGTTTTTTCGTGTTTTATACATGTCCATTTTGGTATCATGATAGATAATTTTAGACAAAGCACGTCATATAGTGGCAATGAAAATAAAAAATGAGCTTTCTACCTCCAGAGAGCCACTGGACCTTCTGAATCCAGGTCAATCGCCAGCTACATTTATGAAACAAACCTTAGTACTCCATGGGTTACATGCCTGACAAAAATAAATTTTTACATGGTAATTTATTTAGACTCATAGCATAAGAAGATTTAATGACTCCTGGGAAAGCTGGGAAAAGTTAGTATTTACCCTCCCTAGGAGTACTGACTTTAATTTCACTGATGTAAGCATTGTTTTTTTCAGCGTTGTAACTGAAAGAGTGGAAACACTAATATTTACCTTCTGTGGAAGTCAGGAAGTAATAAGGCTGTGGGGAGAAGAAAAGCAGCAGACACACATACCTTGAATTACTCATCATTCTCCCCCCACCTCCATTTTTGGCTATGTTAACACTATTTTTAAAGCCTATTTTGAATGCACACATGATGCTAGCTTCTACTTTTGTCTCATCAAAATCAGAGCACTTCCTAATACGTGACAGAGTAGTGCAAAAGATGTGATGTAAACTTAAAGTCAGCTCGCTTCTTTAGTTAGGTCCTAACACTGATAATCATCTACCTCTGCTTCTCTCCTTGTTAAGCAGTATTTCAATGTCGTTTATAAACAAGGGAAGGCTTAATAATAATGATAGTATATGCAAACCATGTAACTAGCAAACACCACACTAAGTTAGATAGTAACTCAGCAGCTTCTCTTAATAAAATACTTTAAATAACGATGGGAATATTGTAAATGTCAGTATGTACATTGATGATATACTGTTGCCTTGACTGCTTTTGTTCACCTCTCCTCCTTGCTGCCCCGAAAGAAGTACCTGTTAAACAAGGAGGGTTGAGTTTTCCAAGGGATCAATGAAAGAATATATAATTTAAGAATGTTAGTAATAAAAGGCCAGAAGTCCAATGTACGGTCCCCTGAGGAAGAAAAACAGAAAGAAATTTAAAGTTAATTAGAGCCAATCACTTCAGACATTGCACAATTAACTTGTGGTATTGCACTGGTACAAAATTCTAACTCTGTAAACTGGCAGTATTCTAAGAATGGATTCCATTTATGCGGTGTATCAATAGTCACACAAGACAAAATTAGATTAAAAAAATATGCAATTAGACTCCAGGACACCTGGAAAATCTGAGCCTATATCTAGGAAAGAATTAAAGCCATATCTTTCTTGTATGTATAGGTCTTTTCTTCTGGATTATTTTTGTAACTCAAAGACAGATGTTTTCAAATCAAAACCATAGAGAAATCTTCATGAAAGGCAGAGACTGCATTCACTTCCATCTGATAATCCGATAAGGAAGTCTCAGAATGCAATACATGCTCATTTGATCAAATAAACATTTATACTAAGATAAATCTCAAATTATTAGCACATCTGGAACTCACTGAAAGAAACAAGGAAGTAACAATGAAGTAAAACTCTTGATGCAAATTCTAATAGGAAAAATAGCCATGAAATTTCTACCTTTTAATTAAAAAAAAATGCCCCAAACCAAATATTACAGTTTTCCAGCTTCAGTTAGTCTGTTTTAAAACACATCTGAGTGTTTTATCTGCACAGGAAGAACAAGTCCTAAATATGTTTTGGAAAGGTTTCCTGTAAGACTTCCCCCCAACCTTTGGAAGTCTTCCAGAAAGCAAGAAAAAGAGCATATGTTTGATTTACAGACAGAAACACCTAGAGAAGCAGTAGGTATAAAGATGAGTTAAAGGGAGAAAGTGAGTTTCATTCCTGCACAAAGATTGTTTTGAAACTTCATCTTCAGTTAAAAGTCTTGACATAATTCCAAGACTTAATTTATTTTGCCTGGGAGATCATCGTTTTTAAGACGATTGTTCCAGTTTTGTAGGGA